CAGAAGTATGACAAAATGAAATATCTCTGATGTAGTAACACAGTGCTCTTCGTTGAGATACTATATAATTTTGTTCTATAAATTGGCGTTGGTTTGGTTACTACAAAACCGTTTAATTTATGAAGATTATCTCTTCTGGATGTAAATCACAATTTTTATTAAATGAAAATTAATAAATCCGATTTTAAGGTTTTTTTTGGATCATTGTTATGATGGCAGACCGTTCGAAGCCTTGATGAATATAGACACGGCAGCTAACAAATTCAATGCCATTTTGTCAATTCGACCTTGGTTACAGTAGAACGATAAAATAATCTACGCAGCAAAGAGCACTATTATTTCCTTCCCATATTATCACAGGGACACTGCATCTACTCCTTTAAGCACACATAAACTAGGCTTAAGACTTTCCGCTTCTAACCATTTAGTTTACAAACGCTGGAATTTAGTCACATACCCACCACTGACGACATTTAAAATTAAAATAGGCTTGTATGCATGTGTTTGTTGCTGTCTTGCAGTAGCGAGAGGGCATCGTTATTATATGACCTCCGGGATGGAGCTATCTTTCCCGAGATCATCACTCACCTCAAGTTTTTTAATAAGTGCGAGTCAGATAAGATCTGGCTACTACTTTCCAGCCCATATTTGAAAAACGGCCGGGGAGACGTTAGCCTTAAATTTTACACACCATATTAAATACCAAGAAAGAAAAAGTAAAAAAAATGTCACCGACCGATGAATTTATCAATCGGAATGAAACCATAAACCCGTACTAACAAATTTGACACAAATCTTATCCTTTAAACGACAATTCTTGTATATATATATATTCGGAATTTCGGAAACGGCTCCAGCGATTTTCATGAAATTTAGTATGTGCGTAGATTCGGGGGCGAAAATTCGATCTAGCTAGGTTTCATTTTTGGAAAATGTCTTTTTATCCCTGTTTTGCAGGGAATGAAAAATATCATTCGAATATGACAGCAAATTTCGCCGCAAAATAAAATGTTATAATAGCTCGGGCGGCCCCAAAAGAGACGGCAGCGGTTCGTATCACGATCATTTACACACTTATGTTTTTTACTTTTTTTTCTATACCTTATTTTCCTTATTTTTTCCGGTCCTCCAGGTACTTACTCTTTATACGAGGAAGGATCAAAAAGTAGTGAGAATGAGATAGAATATAGAAAGAAAGAAAAAAAGAAAATATACCTATTTATTTACCAGAAAAAAGGACGCACACAATAAAAGAAATAATTCAGTAAAGCAAAGAACACAAATACATAATTAAAATATAAAACAAATGAAAATTAACTTGAACAAACCAAAAAATTGTACACCCTATTTAGGTAAATTAGGTTACATTTAATTTTATACGATTAGTTACGTTAAATTAGGCAGCTCAGCATTATGCTATGCCAGAAGTCAAGGCGTCAACACAGCGCTGATTTTCAGTGCTAACCCTCTAACTTCGATGCCTTACAGACCCATACACAGCGAAGTAATACTAATACTATAATGACTGTTAATAATTTAATGACTATTAATAACTTAACTACATAGTGTCCGAGTCTTTCTACACACCGAGTCCAGCGATTTTCGAAGGCTTCAATCCCTTTAAAAAAAGTATTGTCTTGGTACTGCAAAAAGCTCTACACGGCATCCATCACCTCGTTATCGTCTTCGTACCTGTTTCCCCTTAAGTATTCTTTCAATTTGGGGAACAGATAAAAATCGCTAGGCGCCAGATCTGGTGAATAAGGGGGTCAACCTATTCGAAGCCAACTTGCTGAATAGCAGCCATCGCAACTGTCGAGCTGAGCGCAGGTGCGTTGTCGTGATGAAACTTCGATGTTTCCCTCTCCTTTTCTCTTTGATGGCATTCCTCAACTTGGGAATTAAAGCTTCATAATATTGGCCTGTAATAGTGATTCCACGCTTCAGGTAATCAAACAACAATATCCCTAACGTTTTTATTAACTATATATCAACTATGGAAATTGGACAACTATGGATTGCAAAGAATCCTAAATATTTTTGGTCTTATATTAAAGGTAAATCTAAATCGTCCTCTATGCCTAGGAGTCTCCATTTAGGTGATATTACTTATCACACAGGTGCATGTATCTGTAACGCATTTCAAAACACTCATACACAAGCACACACCGCTTCCCTATTTTACGATTTAAATATTCATTAGCAGCCCGTAAATCAAACTGTAGATCGTTATATTTAACCCCCATAGGACAGGCCACCGCTTAGTGTGGGGTTCAGTTGATTGGATCTAGGTATTATTCACGATTCTAAGTTGATATTTAATGCCCATGCCGATAATAAGCAAGTTCATCCAAGGCTTTGAGTTTTGTTATGCGTACTGCAAAGGACTTCAAAAATATAAAAACTATTAAAATCTTGTACTGTACCTACGTTGTTAGGTAGTACCCTTAAATACGCTTCGCAGATCCGGGACCCGTATTACAACACCTATGTATCACGGACCGAGAACATTCAGCGCAAGTTCTTACTTTATCTTTGCTATCGTACTCATTATAATTACCGGTCTATTTACTACTAACTGTATGCAAACAACACGATCTGCTACCCCTAATAAAGCGCCGCGACATTGCTGAAATTGTATATTTATTTAAAATTGCTACTGGTGTAGTACACTGTCCTGAGCTTCTTTCACTAATATCACTAAGAGCTCCTACTGTGCATCTTAGAAGAAATGCACCATATTTTTTACCGACTGTATTAACCAATTATGTAAAAAATAGTTATATATGGTGAACTTGTAATAGCTTAAATAATTTATAAAAAACATATGATTTAGATTTGTTTTACACTAGCTGTGCATCGGCAAGGCGAATATTAAGTCAAGATTTCTTTGAATCGCGCTAATAATGTTTTTTGCTACATTTTTTATAAATATCCATGTCTTAGGTTCGGAATCATGGCGCTAAAAGCCTTGAATGACAAAATCTCAATTCATTTAGTTTCTACCAACGAAAACCTGTAATTAGATTTCTTGTTATTATCTTGTTTTTTTATTTACGTTATATTAGCTGTTGGTTTTAAAATAAAATCCCTTCTGAGTCCCAAAATGTTGAGGCCATAACCTTGCCAGCCGATATACCACGGCACGAAACTTCTTCAGGGTCGGTGATTATAGCCGTTTCCATTGCGAATATTGCTGTTTTGTCTCGGAATCAAAACGATGGACCCAGGTTTCGTCCATTGTTACGAAACGAGACAAAAAGTTTTCAGAATCTTCTTGAAACTTGTCCAACAATATCTTCGAAATGTCAAGTCGATTTTGTTTCTGACTGTCGGTTAACATTCTCGGCACCCATCATGAGGGAGTTTTCTCATATTCTGATTGAATACTTCCATATGAAATGCCCGTTTCTTGAATTAAGTATTGGATGGTAACTCTTCCATCGTTCAATACAATTTTCTCAACTGTCTTGGGTGACTCACGTCAATGGATGGCCGCAACGGTGTTCGTCTTCCGTGCTATTTCTCCCTACTCGAAATTAGAAGCCCAACTTGTGACAGTGGAATACGGTGGAGCAGACTCTCCTAATGTTGCTTCCCTAATCGCAATCTCTTGCGTCGTTAACTATTTTAAACAAAGGTATTTAATGACGGCTCGCACTTCGTTTTTCTCCATTTTCGAGAACACGTTCCGACACGAAGCAAGCAAAAAGACTTCATTCAGAAAGAAACAAAAGAGAATCGAAGATTTTTTCTTTATTTATATTACAAATACGTAACTGAGCTATGCCTGCCAGTATTTTTTCTTACCAAGGAGTATGTCGTGCTCACGACTTTTTGTTCCCTCCTCGTACTTTAAGGATATCGAGGCACAATGGGATGTGAACAAGTTACTGATAAACACCGGGCTTTACGTGCTCTTAGAGCTGGCTACTAAAATCCTTTTTGACCGAGAATATTCTTTAATACTCTCATTAACGGCGGAATTTAAATTATTAATAATTTCGGTCTCGGTAAATCAGTTGTTACGTTTATAAATGTTCGTGTTATTTTTTTAATTATTTACTATTTCGGGCAGCATCTTCAATTTTAGTTTGCAAAATGATTATGGCGATGGGTAAAGAACATTACCATAACAGGATTTTACCAGTTGTTTCCCGTGATTCAGGTTTTTGTTTTATTTTCATTGGGGTTACAGTTATGTTATTGCTTTTATTTAAGATATTTTCATGACGTGCAATCGAAAGATAGTGAATATGATTAGAATGAAAAAATTAATAAACATTCCGTTAACGACTGGAAAAATCGTTTAGCTTGTCGTTAAAAATTTGATATTTTTATAATTTTAAAACAGATAAATTGAACGTAATGTAGCTGAAATGTAAAATAACAAAAAATTGTAATGTAAATCGTTGAAATTGCAAATATAAGCGAACTCTATAACGATATGTTCCTTGGGCCAAAGTACGAAATAATGTATACATTTTAGGAATTGATCCAAAGTACGTTGAATGTTGTAAAAAAGCACAGAATTGCAAAACCTACGGAACCTAAAAGTAATGTTTAAACTTTGCGAAACACGCTATTAGAAATGTATTTTCTATTGATTACATCGCAGTGGATCCGTCATCCGGAAGGTCATCATTATCGTTTATTTAGAATATCACTAAATATCTGCACCCAGTGCACATCTGACCACGGGAAATAAATGGTGTCGTAAATGAGACGAGACGTATTTTTTTTTTACAATCTTTCTGGGCAGCGACAGAGTTATACGGAAAAATATGTTTTTTTTTAATTTATAGTGATATGACGCTATGGTGAAATTTGAAATAAAAAACATTAAGTGATAACATTTAAATATAGAAGTGAGAAACGAAACAAAAGATTTTCTTTCTGGCTGTTTATTCTAAATTTGAACAAGCTGACAGATAACAGTGTCCTGGACTATTGGTATAAAACTGCTTGCATTATAATTGTGCGATACAAAGTGAGTGACAATGTCGAAGGGGCAAGAGTCGGCGACCGATTTCAAGCCAAGGGAGACCTGGAGGATCTTGAAGAATGTTGTCGTCATCAGCATAGCTTTCATGGTTCATTTTACAGCGTACAGTGTGAGTATTTTTTTGTTAAAGTTGAAATTTTCACTATCAGTGGGGCTCCCATAGAATAATTTTGTGTAAAGTTGGCAAACAAACAGGCGATTCAGCTTATGTTTTTGTTTAATGTGAAAAAAGGAGGTTCACCTGATGTTAAGTGATTGCCGTCGCCCGTAAACATTTAACACCTGGGGAGCTGCAGATGCGTTACCAACTTTTGAGAAAAATATTATGTCCCGGTTACCTCACCCACCAGACGAAACGCGAATTTATAATGGATGTATTATTTCACGCCGGTCTTCTGTGAGGCTGTGCTACTTACCCGAAGTACCACAGCCTCACAGAAATCTCCCGAAACTGTATTCGTGTAACATCAGCTGATGCTGGTGCTAATCACAATAAAATAATAAAATAAAAGTGTTTTAACCTATTACTTAATTTATCTATTTTTGCATATTTTGTATAAGTTTGTAATGTATACGTTTTGAGGAAGGACAGACTGGGTATGGTTTTTCAAAATGTATTATGATTATGAATATTAATTAGTAATATTGTGAGGTAAGTTTTGGCGAGGTAAACTTGTCGTTGGAAATGAAAAACACTAGTAACTGATCGTATTGGAACAAGCCGTTGATGGAATCGAATCTCTCTGATTTGGAGTCAAATAACCAACTGTTAAAGCAAATGCATTCAAAAGTAATTTATAACGTCAATAGCTCATTGATTAGTGCTGTAGTTATCAAATCACCGGCATTTATAATGCCTTGTTATAGAATAAATATGTAGGTTAAGTCATAATTTGGAGATATTGGATAATTATCAAAGATAATCAAAAAAATTCATCAATATAATGGAGTGATTGCTAAGCTATTGGATTCGGCGCCGGGGGTCGTGGGTTCGATTCCCACACGAATACACGATAAAGAACCTAGCCAAACTTACATCAATTACTGTTGTTGTGCCGACCCCACCGAGGTGGGATAAGGGCAGGAGGATGATGATTAAATTTAAAAATTTTAAAGTAAAAATCCTTTAAATTGATATTTATTGTTTATTTTCCAAAATTAGTTTTGTGCATAACGTTTGTGTGTAATATTTGTGTAGTAGTGAGTGAAATTCAATTTCCAACGGACAATTCTAATGTTATGATGCATATCTATTGACATATAAATGTGGTGACCTTATTTAAGTAAAATTTTAAAGATAACATTAGTTGTTGTCAATCAACTAAAAGCGCTAATAAGGTTGTAGTCCCGGTTATGTTAATATGTTTGATAATCTGAAGTACTTAATAGGTCTATTATTTCTTGAGACTCGTTTTTTTCATTGACATTTGTAACACTGTGAATAATATTATGTGATTTTCTTAAACTTCTTTGTGGTTTACTTTAAAATTAATATTTTTTTCATGTTCGATCTATATATATGATATAAATCTTTATTGATCTAATATTTACAAGATTAAATCTATCTAAAATTACATATTATCTAATAAACCTAATCCACGCGGCATGGTGCCAAGAACGCTAGCTGCGTTTCCTCGCTGAATAGTTATGCTTAACCTTTGAGCGAGAAAAGAACCAGCTCTCTTGTCACCAGTCGCGGCGTTAAGCCTAGGACATAAACTTTTAAAAAAAATTGATGTGCGGGGACCCCACGGACCTAATGTTTCAACAGCAAATGGCACAAATACATAATCTGAACATAAAGACTCATATTTGCGCCATTTACTTACTTCAGCTGCCTCCGATGCCGCCCCGGCCCTGACCGAAGTACCCCTTAGATGAGAGGCAGCCAAAGTGTCTTCACAAGTGGCGTCCCAAACAAGGGCTTTGCCTCTCTCCCAAGGGATCAATGTTAAACCGTCGGGTCTCTTACCATCGTCGCGAAAAATGCCACAGGGCTCTAAAATAGATGGAACATTGATGGAAACAAGAGCCCTACGGATGATGTCGTTCAGAGAACCGTGGCGGGAAAAACGGCCAGCACTTTTTTGACAAGAAAGCCCGTGGAGACCAAATTTGTCTACACTGACACCACAAGGGCATTGGTGTGGTTGACAAATCGGTGCCCCCAGACGGATTCCTACAGCAATGCGTAAGCTTTCATCGTCAAGTAATGTGCCCAAGTTACTTGATGGTAAAGCGTGAAGCCAATAACTCGATTTTTTAGATGAGACGCCTAGGAAACGGGCACGCTCTAAATTACTTTCTAAAGATTGAAACGTATCTCTCTGTACTCTCCGCACCAAAGGAACATCCCACTGTTTTTGTAGGTTTACTTCCAGTGGGATATTTTCGTTGGGGCAGATAGACAGCCTAAACAACCTTGCCTCCTCTGCATAGGAAAGTTCTGAATCGTGATTAAGGATGTTATTACATAAATTATTTACGCTATGCACGGAAGCAAGGAAGGCAGGTAGAGCGACACTAGAAATTTTCCTTACACCGATACCACCAAAACGAATTGGCAGCGTAGCTTGAGTCCAGCTTAATTCATTAAGAGATAAATTTAGAATTTTTTCTAGAGCTGATTTAAGATGGAAATCAATTTCGTTCAAAAAGTCACCGCATTTCCAAACTGGACTCGAGCGAAGGAGGTACGTAAATTTAGGTACAAGAATACAATGTCGCAAAATAGTAAGCGCAATATGTGAATTTAGTAAAAACAATTTATTAACATGATCTAAAAATTGAATTAAATTTAATTTTAAATGAGGTTCCAAACTTGGTATCAACAAAGGAGCACCTAAGAGGTAAAGTGAATCTGAACGGACTACTTTAATTCCCGGTATGATAGAGCTAAAATTTTGGGTCAAAATGATTTTGTCGGAAAAAGAAATCTTTTTGGAAAAGAAAAGTTCGCATTTGGAATTATTTAAATCGAGACCGATATTTTTAAATTGTCTAATAATTTCGATAAGATCACTTTGTACATCGTCAACTTTACCTCCCAGCGTACCATCGTCTAGGTACCAGACATTAAGTTTAGATTTCAATTTTGAAATAATTGGATGGATTCCCAAACTAAATAATGCTGGTCCTAGCGGATCTCCGACAGCAGAATCAATAATATTGTCTTCATAAAATAAATTACTCTTTTCAGTGTAACATTGCCAAACATAGTGATATATTTCTGGTGTATGGTTAGCCACTTCATTCAGCAGCAGAGTCGTTCTATCAATGGAGTTAAAAGCATTCCTTAGGTCAACCTTCAGAAGTACATCCAAATCACTAGTATTTAAAGAAGTTCGAACGGAATGTACAGCCGCTTCACAGCCGCCTTTGCTTCCAAAGCCAAGTTGAACAGGCTGGAATTTTGTTTTAAGGCCGGAGATTATGTGCCTACATGCTAATTTTGAAGTTAAGCGTCGAAAGGTAGAACCAATAGCAATAGGACGGATACCATTATCTTTTTTTTTAAAGGCACATAATCTTGCCCCGTATAAAAAAGGAACAAATTTAGGATTTACTTTTCCGGAAAGCATTAAGTTGCATAATTTGGTAATATCATTAAGAAGTGCCAGCATCACCGGCGGAAACGCTTACAAGATCTTTCAGATGTTGTGGCGTTATACCGTCAATGCCGCCAGCAGAGCCACTTGAAAATGATATAATTGCCTGGAAAGTGTCTTTATCGGTAATTTGCAAAGCCTGATATGAAGAATCGGGAGGCAGCGGTAGGAGCGGCGGAAGATTGATCGATGGATGCTTTCTGTCGTCTGTGGATGTCGTCTGAAAATAAAATGCTCGATGCATTTTTTAAATCACCATCCATAACTTTAGTCTCTACAGTTCTCTTTAAATCGAATTTACGGGGGGGTTTAGTTATGGATGAGGCAGTCTTTAATTCAACATTTTTGAATGAATTGCTCTTTAACTGAGAAGTAATTGATTTTGATACCGATTTATCAAAGTGAAAATGGGAATACGCAAAGGTAAATAAATTATGCCAACTAGATTCAGTATTTGAGAAACAATTTTGAATACAGGTTGATAATGACTTGGCAAGCTGCATCCTTGCACCTCTTGGAATCCTTTTGAGTATTGGTACATTGCTATGGTAATAATAGATCTGTTCCGAAAACAACTTAAAATTTTTGTCATTATAATCGCTAATAGTCTTATTACAAAATGCGGTAGGATGTGAAGCTGCAACAGGGTGACTATGACAACGTTTAATGTGAATATTTAAGCCTCTTTTACCTTTAAAAAGCCTACCGTCGGAACATTTTGACATGGTAGAAAATCCGTTTGAGAGCATGTACGAACATCGTTATTCATAATATTAAAAATCACCCTTGAAAAATTAAAATAAGGTCACTAAAAGTCATTAAAAGGCACGACGAGGAAGCCTCGCGACGACCACCACTGGCTCTGAACAGGGCAGCAAGGCGTGGACGTGGAAGCTGAAAACAAATACAAATACATATCTGGGGGCGACAAATTAGGTTAAAATATAAGAATTATTACAGTACTCCCCAGGTTTTATTGCAAAATCCAAGACAACATATTTTCAAGCGTTTGACAGCTGACGTTCCTGACTTCGATCGTAGAGGATTTCTATATATATCAATTTATCTGCTTTTTTTAAATTGTTGTTAAGTTATGTGGACGAGTAAGTATCGCAAACAGGATTTTTAAGAGGATATTAAATATTTAGTCAATGACAGCTGTACCCGTTATCGGAACAGTATTCATTCAAAAACCAGTTTTCGAGGAAACAAAATTTTTATCTGCTCAAAAATCGAACCGAAATACTCTAAATTTTAGGCTTTATGAGCCTTTGAGAGATGCGTTTTAAGGTTTTACTGTAATACTTCATTTAAGATACTTGTAGTAAAGATATATCAGACATTAACATTGTTGCAATATTTTTTACTAGCTTTTCGCCCGCGGCTTCGCTCGCGTTGAAGTCCTTAAATGAATATCTTTCTTTAAAAATATTAGATATTTTCAGAGCTTTACAACACTTTTTTCTAATTAAAAAAATGGCCTATGTCCTTTCTCAGGCTCTAGACTATCTGTGTACCAAATTTCATTTAAATCGGTTCAGTAGTTTTGTCGTGAAAGCGAGACAGACAGACAGAGTTACTTTCACATTTATAATATTAGTATGGAAGTATGAATAGATTGGCACAAAAGTTCAGGTTTCTTCCGCTCATCTTTCTTATTATTATTATTAGTATAGTAATGAATACTCTCCAAAATCTTGCTACAAATCTTGCTGAACAGAAAAAACAAACAAATTTTTTAAAACGAGTTTTGAATTTTAGTAAAGCCCAAACAACCAAACGAAATTGTGCTACTTTTTATTTTAAACTTAAAGAAAGAAACTTCAATGTAATTATTTTAACATATATGTTAGATTGTTTTTATGGATATTTGTAGTAAAGTAAAGTAACAGCCTATACATGTCCCACTAATGGTAAACGTAGCCATATTGGCCTCCTCTGTACAGAGATTATTAGGGCATAGCCCACGCAGCCCCACTGCGGAATGGCGGTTTTCACATGTCTTTGGATTATTTTATTTTCTTATTATTTCAAAAATATGCAGGTTTCCTCAAGATGTTTCCTTCAAAGATGGGCACGTGATAAGTCAGCATTTAAAATTAAAAATTTCATTGGTGCCGGCGTCGCGATTGGAACTCAGGCTGCTGGAGTATATTTATATTTAATTAAAGGCGAGCGCCCGGACACTGACCTAATGATAGCCATGAGGCTGGCCCACGACTAACTCTGCTCATTTGTAATTTAACATTTAAGTTTTTGTTTTCGTTTACTCTAGACAATCGTAACACTGCATGTTATGTATATTAAAAATGTTAATTAAAAAATTAATCAAAGGTTTAGGCAAATGGCTAATTAGCAGTTTATACTGAATAACATTCAGTAAGTTTAAAAGAATCCACCGAATGTAAAGAAACCTTCAGATTTCCAATTTAAAATTTTATTATATAAGGACATTGCAAATTATTCGCATTTTCAAAGTCCTTAAAGTTGATAACCTTGTGATTTTGTGTCAATTACGTAATGACGCCCATTTATATACTTACAAATTTGGGGTTTCATATGATTATTAAAGAATTGAAGAATTTTTAAGCTTTATTGATGAGGTGGAGGATGAGAATCATTTTTCTATAAGGTACAATCTGAATAACAACGGACAAAAATACGCACCGTGCGTAGAATAACGTTCTTTGGTGACATAGAACGAATTTGATTTTATCGTCGGAAAGTCTTAATTATTGTCTACGTTTTCAGATGACATTAATTTTTTGTCGTCTGACTTATAGATATTGAGATTCAGAATAGAACAATGTTCTACTAGATTTGTGCTACGCAGTACAAGGACATATGTACGTTAGGCACTGTTTTTTTGTACTGACTAGACTAAGCTTACTAATGTAATAGACGAGTGTCTCTACTCTATTAGAGTCAATTTATAATTATTGCACAGTCACCCACTTTTTATGTTTTTTCCGTTGAAAAAAGTTTTACATGCCTTTATGTCATACATATTTTCTGAGTTTTTAGTAGAACAACGTTATATATGAACATGTGACCTATTATTTTTTGGAATGTTCCGTTGAACAACGTTATATAAACGTGTATAATATGAACTTGTGACCCATCAGTTGTTGCTATTTTCCATAGGAAAACGTCACTATTACAAATGAAACCTCTTATTTCCTAAATTTATGTAATTATTAATTCAAAAAGTATACTGTTTGTTAATATACCTAATTATATCACAAACCTCAAAAATTGTAATAGCAATTGCATGTATAAGAAAACTATAACCAAAATAAAAAAATAATCATTTGAATCGGCCGTCCTGAACAATTACAATTTTGCAGATGTCATATTGTTCTACACAGGGTGCGAATAAACAATAACAACATTTGCAGTAAATAGGGCCACATTAATAACATGTTACCTTTTTTTAAAAGCTCATTGATATAGTTAAATGTTAGTAGAATAGAAATATTTTTAATGTGCAATTACGTTATTGCATCGTCCCGCTTCTGGTAATATGATAATAACTTAAAACTAGACTGGCAACGAAGATTCGGCTATTATTCGATACTCAGCCAGTTTGGCGACATTTACCATTTGGGCCGAGTACCAAATAGAGAGGCTCTATTCGGCTGAAAACCGAATACATAATCAAGGTTTTGTATTACACAATTCGTTGGTTAAATGTAGATATTAATTTATTTTATAACAATGTATTTTTATAGCCATTGATATACTACATATTCCTCTAGAATTGTTTTAATTATAATTTAGAAGATAATGGTTACTGAGCAATACTATTTTTTACATTTTAGGCGGCTTTCAATACGACACTCGGTGGTCTTTTTGGAAGCTATAATCGATTACTATTCCTTTGACACGACGCAATTTGAGTTAACTCTTTAATTAAGTTATTCACTGTTATTATATGAGTTCTTGTGGTTTTCAAAAGCGTTTATTAATTTACAGGGAGCAGCCAACTTACAGAGCTCGATCAACGCCGAAGCTGGTCTGGGAACGGCGTCGTTAGCCGCGGTCTACGCAGGACTGATTTTCTCTAACATCTTCCTGCCCGTAATTGTTATCAAGTAAGGGATTCTTTTTATGTTGGAAGGTGTATTTGCTTGTTATTCTTTAATTTTTTTCTTAATTTCACTGAAATTATTTGCTGTTAAATATTTTTTCATTTATTGTTCTCGATTATTCTTGTATTTAGCTGAAGCAATGCTGTGTCACCTAATAAGCTACATACATCAGAATTTTTTGTAATCTTTTTGCTTAAACGTGGAATGTGTGTATTGCTCGTGTCCTTTAAATAAATAAATAAATTAATAGAAGGTGTCAAATAAGCAGGCAGTTCACCTGATGTTAAGTGGTAAACGTCACCCATTGACGCCCACCTCCACTTCACGCCGGTCTTCTGTGAGGTCGCAGTACTTATCCGGACGGAGCTGCCCATTTGTGCAACAGCAGAGACTGTTGTATGGCCCTATTTTTTTTTGGCTGGATAAGCCACTGTTGGCCTTAGGGGCCTTCACAGATCCAACGGACTTGAGGTGGCCTGGCGCACGGGGCGCCTAGCCTGAACCTCGGCGTATTATTACTACGCGAAGTGTGGCCCTACCATCGTTAATAGATTATATTATAGAGAAACGCAATTCAAACCTTTACCACCCATGTTATGACGATGAACTTGTGTCGGATAAAAGTAATTTAAGTAATTCAAACATTACGTATATAACTGCCGGAATCTGATTGTTACCTACTTGATTTTAAAATGTGTAGTCAAAATAATGTGTAATCAAATTAACTGTCAATATAATTTTTCGTGCCGGTATTCGAACCTGTGCCTTTCCGATCACGTGCTAAGACGCTCTAGGCACTAAGCTAAGCGGTAGATATTATCAACGCGAGAAAATCTCGTCTATCTCATCGTCATTTAATGTAAAAAAAATTACTACGGTTTTTTCTAACATTTTAAGTTTCACATTAAGTGCAACGACTAGCACAAATTAAAATGTTGCGTAAATGTTTTTACGACAAATGCTGATGAAAAATGAGTTTGCTAATAGGTGTGGTCAGTTTAACACTTATGAATACTTCAGCACTTACCTTCAAGTCAGGTTAGTCCGCATTATTAAGCCATACCAAAATTATATGACGCTGAGAACCCGTGGGCATAGATAAAGCTTTTGTTTACATTATTGCAATTGTTATAGCGATAAACGCTTATCTTTGTTAGTGTTAATAATTTATTTCAGTCTTAAGGCTTGTGGAAACTAATCGGTAACACAGCCCTACTGAAACTGCTCATTAAGTATTAGATACATAGTTTTAACCAAAATAAATGATGGCGAATAAAACAAATAAGAAATAATCTTGCCTGCTTAAATTAGATTAAAGTTAACAGGTTTACAGGCTAATGACGATAGAATGGTTAATTAAATCGCTGTAAGCATAACTACTGGCACAAATCTTGTTAAATTAATTTTGAACAGTAGCATTAAGATCGTATATGAAGTTATTTTTGTCGTGTTGGAATTTCATCAGATCAATGAGCCAGTTCAAAAAGATCTCTGAGATTTCTCTCGGTACCGTAAGCGGTCAACGGCCTCTGGTGCAACAATTGAATGTTTTTTTTTAGAATTTATCCAATTTTAGATGCTGCGATGACTTTCATCATAGAGGTTGGTAGCACTGCCGCAAGCTGGTACCTGTTTGGTGATGAACCTACATACGCGTAACTCTGTATTATGAGTGGGCGAGATTAGTAAAATACTAACAAGAGGCGGTTTCACCGTTTCTCAATTTCTGCCAAGCAAGTTGATATAATTATGATATTGTATATTGTATATTGTAGATGGCTCGGCACCAAATGGGCGATGTCTTTGTCGTTCGTGACGTACATGCCGTACATCGCCGCGCAATTGCTGCCTCGCTTTTGGTCCATGATCCCGGCGGGGCTGGTCGTGGGCTTCGGCGGTGGACCGCTGTGGTGCTCCAAATGCACTTATCTGTCCGTGGTAAGTGCGTTGTTCGTTTGTGACGGGACCGTCTAATTGTGGCAGTGTAACCGCTATACATTTGTATAACTTTGTATTTGTACAACCAATTTACACATTACATTTTACAGCAGAAATATCGGCTTGCCTTTTCGATGATAATTTGTCAGTTTCTTCTCAGTTAGAGGATTCTCATTACGAAACGGTAGTACATTTAAAAATGACTATCGATAGATGAATATATATTTCTTATTTCGATGAATAATGGTTTGATTTTGATTTATATCATAGCTAGCATAGCTGTAAGATAAACATTTGCTGTGATATAATATTTTCGAAGGCACTTGTTTGCAGTTGCCTCAGAACTTTTCTTAAAGGTTTAATTCTCTTTCAGGTATCGGAAGCTCACAGCAAAATATCCGGCATTCCAGCGGAAGCACTGTTGACGCGTTTCCTTGGGCTGTTTTTCATGATCTTCCAACTGAACCAAGTCTGGGGAAATCTAATATCTTCTTTGGGTAAGAGAAGCATTTTCCAGAAATTGATGCAAATTTGGACGGTTCTGTTTTGACTGCTGTTGAACCTGCAGAGCACAGACTTCAGAGTTGTAATTAAAGTCAATCTGTTCGTTAAATAATTCGTTTTAGATCAAAAGCTTTGGTAAAATTACGCATCTAACTTTCCTATTTTAAAGATCACATTAGTATTTTATTTGTTTGCTATTAGCCGAACCACGGTCATAGCCAGATCATTATCAGTGGAGGAGATTAAAAAATAACATAGCAAAAATGTGCATGAAACAAGAGTAATATTGAAAAATATGGTAATTCTACAAGGAAATAAAACTGAGAAACATTAAGTTGTTAAATTAGTTTGATAAATTCTATTATTTGTATAATATATATAATTTTTGAATCGACATAACATTTCTGTTCCATCTTTGAGAAAATGATAATTTAACTTAATATTATTTTGAATATTTCAAAAGAATGTTTGAGTAACTAACCCTGGCTACGCATTTGAGCAGAACGAAAAGTCCTGCATTTGAACAGGGCCATTTCAGAATATCGTCTTTGTGAAATTATCTTTTCTTCATAATCAATTTTTAGTTTTATCTAGTTATCGTCAAAACTTTAAACTCCGTTATCCGACACCGATGAGTATCTGATATCAAAAATTGGGTTAATGCTAGATGTTTTATGATCATTACTCTTATAAAAAATTATAATATTACGTAAAAAGTTTTGATTGTTAAATTTCTTAACATAACCTTGTCACCAGTGTAGTATGTCTTAATCATGCTATCTTTGCTGTGGGTTCGGGTTGAAAACAAACCACTAAAAGACGGAGATGTTTCCCTTCTGATACTGACGTCTACCTAAAGTATCTATGTCTATCTAAGGATAGACATTATTAAACGTAGTGAAAATCTTGTGTAAAGCACGGCTATAAATTGGGGAGCATTATAATACCTTAGAGAACCTCAGAAGCTGACGTTAACAGCAGCTTTTAATTGATTGCTGTAGCGTTTAACAATTGAGACGCTGTAATACGCCGGTATCGTTATTGGAAATTATGCGTATTTTATATTTAACTATAGACTTGCGTTAAAATTTCGACATTCTTATATTTAGAATCATTCTTTCTTTTTTCGTAGATTCGTGCAATCTTGCTTCGTGCACTCTCCCTTGTGCATTTGCTCATGACTGCGTTATCTAGTTAGGGGGGGACCCAATAACCGTTGATTATATTAAATGTTTCTTGAGGACAAGTGAGAAACCACCTTGTAAAGCGGGTGCGTCAGGTGTAGGTACGCTTTGTGTTGGTTTAGCCGTGCTCGTAGGCGAGGGCACAAAACAGAGGTAGTGAAAAAAAAATACTATAATGAAAGCACCACATCTAGATAACATACTTAAAGACGTAAAAAGAAGAATTTAGTCGAAATGACAGGTGAATAACCTAATCGTAATCTTCAGTGAAATATTTGAGGACTTAAAAAAATAGGTTAATGCTCTTGGATTTACAAAAGGAAAACACTCTTTATAACCTCTGATGCTGACTTTAACAGATTCACATTTTTATCTGCTTTATCGCGGATAATTTCAGTTATAACAGCAGTGCAATTTGTTAATCGTATTTACCGTAGCAAGCCAAACACCAAGGATAATTTTTTTTATCAAATCGCCAACTGCTATTCAGTTCAGTAAATATGTACTACTATATCAATTATGTAAATTAGGTCGGGGAAAAAGTTTTTTCATACTTTTTGTACATAATGCAAGACATTTTTTAAAGTATAAAAAAAAGTAATGTGCAATCGTGTTTAATAACTTGTTGCCATCTTGTCAGTAACATAATGCCGTTGCTGTAAAATAGTTTAAATTTCTGATAAAAAATATGTGTGGTCTGGCGTTATCATGATACTACTATTGATTGCGAAAAATCATTTGTTGGTTGTTGTACGTCTTTACGGAGACTTTCACTAGGTTGCTAACTGGCGCATTGACATCATAATGGTATAAGTGGGTATTAATTTGTACATTACTTTATGATGATCTAGTTACGAGGATTATGGTCGATCCAAAATATATTTAACTGCTCTTATACTTTGGCGGTTTAAGTATGAGGGTGACTCGTGGAGTTGTAGAATATTTTTCTGTAACAAGGTCCTTTTTTATAGCGCAAAACAATGCGCAAGGCATCTACAAGAGATAGTGAAAAACCTTTCGAGTTGTCGTCAAAATAGTATCACAAGGCTATGTAAAAGAAAAGTGAATTTAAGTATTAATTAATGAATTTAACATCTGACTTCACTTATCGTATTAGAATTTGTAATGATTAAGTACAGTTGCTAAATTTATTAGCTTCGGTGGCGGATTCCTACATGGGACAAGTGTTTGTGTGACCCTCAGATCTGGTAGAATTCCATTTGCACTAAGCCAGCTAGTCTGTGTGTGAGATAATAAATTTGAACAATTTTTTTTTATGTCAAAGTTGCCAAACTAGCAGAAGGTTCACCTGATGGTAAGTGAATACCGCTGCCCATGGACATCTGCTACACCAGAGGGTTGCAGATGCGTTGACAACCTTTTGAAAATTGGGCTCCGGCTATCTCACTCACCAGACGAAACGCGAAAGTATTTGTCATACTTCCACTTTACGCTGGTCTTCTGTGAGGTCGTGGCACTTACCCGGACGGGCCTGCTCATTCGTGCAACAGCCGAGGCTGCTGCGTAGCCCCACCACCGTAAAATGTTTTCAACGGTTTTAACCCAATCGCCGCATCTCGACCGTAAACTTGGATCTGTGTCTATTCAGAACCGTAGTCCGAAAACCTGTGGACCTTGCACGCCTTTAGTTATTCCTCGCCTTCCAGTACTTTCGTCTGGGGACAACGAGGCGGCGGTGACGGGCTTAAATGACACCCAGATCCATGAACTGTGCGGTGCCAACTTCTTGCCGAGCGCCGACGCCGGCGAGGCCTTGCAGCAACAGCCCCCCGAGAAGATCCAAATGATTGCTGGTGAGTGTTTTCACTGTGATTGCTGGCGAGTAAAAAGATTTGATGTTCTACAGTTGTCTGTGTGTGAATTTGAAACGCCCCTTTTGTCACCCTTGATATTAAAAGAAAAATAAAGAATCAGCCTGTTAGTCCCACTGCTGGGTAAAGGCCTCCTCTGTATGGTTTTATGAGGGCAAAGTCTTGAGACTTCGCATGATTTCGAAATGTTTTTTTTGTTATTATTTTGAAAAGATTCATAAATAGTCACGATGTTTTCGTTCACCGCTGAGCACGTGATAAGTCAGCACTTTTGGTGCTGGCAGTTTGCCAGCGAGAGTTCGGAGCCAATGTCATTGCTGCTTTATCACTTTTTGTGCAAGCTCTATTGTTTGGAGTTTAACCTTTAAACAAGTATTAAACAATTTATTTGCATCCTTCTATTTAATTTCAGATATATACTTAGCTTGCATGGCTGGTGCAGCCATTATCGTTGCAATTGGTGTTGATTCCATGAAGAGGTTCGTTGAAAATTTTATTTAATATGTGTATACTTGTCAAGCTATGCAAAAATTATATATATTTCAGGATTTTTTTATGTTTGATGGTGGCAAACGAGCTGACGGTTCACCTGATTTTAAGTGATAACCGCCGACCATCGACACTTGCAACACCCATAGGATTGCAGATGCGTTGCCACCTTTTAACAAAATTCGTCCCGGCTACCTCACATACCAGACGTGCAACACTTCCGGATGGGCCGGTCCACTACGCCGGTCTTCTATGAGGTCGTTATATTTACTCGGATGAACCTGAGCATTCGTGTAACAGAGAACAATGTTGCGTGGCCCCACCACGGTTAAAGTGTGTGCTCCTTGAGTTACGATCATGTCTATTGCGTGGGTTCGATCCCCACTACTAGAAAAATATTGTGTGATGAACATGTGTTTTTCTAGAGTCTGAGTGTTTATATATTATGTTTAATATGTATTTATTTACAAAAGAAAAGTATGTTTATCAGTTCCCAGTCTATTACCCATAGTACAGGCATTGTTTAGTTTGGGACTAGAGACATTGTGTCAAAATATGTCCTAAAATATTCTTCATACATGGTACACATTTATGAAGAATATTTTAGGAGCCACATATTGTCTATTTTCAGATACGACAGTGGACGCTCCGGCTCTAGTTCTGGTAAATCGGGCATGGAACTGCTCGCAGTCACTCTCAAGCTATTAGTGGAGCCTAACCAGATGATGCTGGTCGTCATTAACATCTTCATTGGTCTCCAGCAGGCCTTCTTCGGTGCCGATTTTACTGCTGTTAGTATTTACATTAAGACGATCCATAAAACCTTACGGAACTTCTGGAAACACTCGAACCCCTTTTATAGCCAATCTCATTTTTATTTATTAATGTATTGAGATTATAAACCTGTTGCATAGAAATGATAGATGCAAAGAACCAAGAAATTCTTCAATGCCGAACATTCTTATTTCATTAAGTAAATATCAGTCGAAAGTTCTGTGAAAAAACTGAAAGATTCCTGATCCAATTAATTTCTGTTCATTATGTGTCATTATGAAAATTAATATTGATTTACTGCTAAATAATTTTGTTTATTTCATTATTGAGGGATATTAATTAATTTTTAATTTCAGGCTTTTGTCTCGTGCGCCATCGGCACTGGCACCGTCGGCTTCGTGATGATGACATATGGAATTTCGGACGCGATCGGCTGTATTGTCACGGGGTACATAGCGAAGGTGGGTACTTATTAGAAGGCAAACTAGATCTTAGCGGTAGACTAAGCTAGTTCCATTGAAAATACTGGATTACCGTTCCCATATCTGGGCTGGGGAGCCCCAATACCAGCTCCTACCATTTGACCTCATCCAATATAAAGCTGCTTGAATCGTCGACCAGTTCCTTTCCAATCGTCTCGTTCTTTTGGCTTTTTATGTGAGAAGGTGGCAAACGAGCTGGCGGTTCATATCATAAAATGTTGTATTAATCAATTTTTTTTTTATTTATTAAACTTACCTGCAGATGTGACAATAAAACTTATTTAGGTCATCTAAACAATAATGTAAATGCTTAAAACTAATTGCACATCCAAATTATAGGCAAACACAACATTGATAGATTCACGTATTTGTAAGTAAATGTATGTTAAAGAGAAAAAAATACAACTAAAACAAAAATATTAAAATAAAAAAAAAATAAAAATAGAATACAGCTAATATGTTGACATAAGTGTACAAAAAAGACCTTTATCCAGCGTAACAACACAAACATTACAAAAAAAAAATGAATTTATAACAGAGGAAAAAAAAATTTTTTTTTCTCGTGAACATAAGTTGTCAATCATGGCTTAGAATAATATGGCGACATTGAAGTAAAGAATCGCAGTTAAAATCAATTTTGTCGGAGAACTTATTTACTAAAGCACACAAGCGTGGGATAATTGACTTAGCTCCCAAAACAGTTCTCTTAAGAGGAGGCGTTAGGGGTTTCAGTTTAGTGCATGGACAAGAACGCGGGACATTAAAGTTAAATTTGGAAAGAAGATCTGGGCAATCTACATTATTTCTTACAAGCTTATGGAAAAAATTAAAATCAATTAAGTCTCTCCTCTTAGAAAGGTTCGTTATTTTAAAATGGCTAAGTCTTTCATCATAACTAATAATTTTTTTATCTAAGCGTGATGTTTTTGCAATGTGCCATAAAAACCGTTTCTGTAATCTCTCCAATCTTAAAGAATGTGTAGAATAATGTGGCCGCCAAACAACACTGCAGTATTCGAGACAACTGCGCACCAAGCTGAAGTATAGTGCTTTTTTGTTTCTATGTTGCGAAAGACCCTACCATTTCTCATTACAAACCTCAGCATTTTTCCCGCTTTTGATACTTACCAGTCATAATGTGGTACAAATGTTAGTTTTTGATCAAACAAAACACCTAAATCCTTAACACATTCAACCTCCCTAATAATTGATTCCTTTATATGATATAACGATGGAATTATATTCTTTTTACGACAAAACTTAATGTGGCAACATTTGTGAGCATTAAGAGTCATATTATTTCTGTTGCACCATCTAATGAGTATAGGTCGTCCTGAATATATTGAATATCTTCCAATGTGTTAATTATTCTTGCAAATTTAAGGTCATCAGCATAAAGAAATGGTTTAGAGTGCTTGAAAATAGTAGATATATCATTAATAAATATATGAAATAAGACTGGACCTAGATGAGACCCTTGTGGAACCCCAGAACTTACACTGTGGGAAAAGGAGCGATAACCACATAGAGCCACAAAAATTCCCGGTTTCGTAAGTAAGATCGAAACCAATTTAACAAAGAACCCCCAAAACCTAACATAGAAAGTTTCATAACTAGAATATGATGTGATACGCGATCAAACGCCTTACTAAAATCGGTGTAAATTACGTCCACCTGTTTCTGGTTATCTAATGCATCTGTCAAAAAGTTGCAAAAAGTCCCTAGATTAGTTGTTGTTGAGCGTGCTGGAACAAAACCATGTTGGTGCGGTGTCATTATTTGTTTTATGTGAAACTGAATTATTGGACATATTAAAGATTCGAAAATTTTTGCAAAAGTAGATAAAATCGAGATAGGTCTATAGTTGTTAACTAATGCCGTATCTCCTTCTTTAAATACGGGTACCACTTTTACTAATTTCCATTTATGTGGGAATGTACCAGATTTCAGGGATTCGTTATATATGAAATATAGAGGAGTTGCTAAATTTTTGGCACATCTACGTATAAAAAAAGAACCAACGTCATCAGGACCGCTACCTTTTTTATCATCTAATGTTTCTAATTTTTTCACATTATACTGATGAAAAATAGTCTGCAAAAATGTTACTTATTTCTAAAGCACTAGTTGCAGTTCTGGCTCCATCGGATATGCACGTCGGATAACTCGAAGTTTTACGTTTTTTCTTAATGAATGACCAGAAAAGCTTAGTGTTTTTTATCATATCTTTCTCAATGGTGTTAATGTAAAAATTGTAACATTTTGTGGAAAGATTTTTACAGCGTTTAGAAAGCAAATTCAATACGACACAATCCATAGGGTTTTTTTATTTATTATAGCGTTTTCTAATTCTGTTCTTTTCATTCAATAATTTAATTAGACTATGATTGAACCAGGGAGGGTACTTAGATTTGTAAGGTTTATAGCATGGAACAAATTTATTTATAACTTCTTGAAGTGTTTTATAAAATACGGCTACCATATCATTAACATCATTTAAACAACGACCATCACTTAATAAAGCAACCCAATCTATTTTACTTAGATAGTCATTGATACCTAAATAATCTGCTTTCCAAAAATTTGGGGTCGAGTTATTTTTGTAATGCAAAAAATTTTTTTTTCTAGATAGTGGAAGTTTTACTAAAAGTGGTGGATGATATGGGTCTATTTTGCTTAAGGTGTTGAAAGCTTCTGTTGTTTCACAATCGGGTAAATTGGAAAATACTAGATCTAATGTCTTATTCAAGCTGTTGACAATGTGGTTATATTGTTTAAGATTGTTTATACTACAGAAGTCGAGGAGTAATTGGTTTAAGTTTGATATTTTATGAGGGGAATAATTTTAAGACGACCATTTCATATCACTAGCGTTGAAGTCACCTAAAATGCAAAAACGTGTATTGTACCGGTCAAAAACTGAGTTGCAGTTAGCTATAAAATGTTGAAGTACATCTTTACACAATGGTGGTGGTAAATAAGTTACACATATCAATAAATTACATTTGGCGTCCACTGTAGGTAGTTCCAAGGAGATCCAGAGGTCTTCCTTCGCATTTACTTTCACAACAGAGGAGTCTATAAGATTTTATTGTATTATTCACTGCAATCGCGACACCTCCCCCATTCTTTTCACAGTGAAACCCACTTGTTTGTCTATCACGTCTATATACTTCGTATCTAGAATCAAACAGTTCACCATCGCCAATGTTTCGGTTAAGCCATGTTTCCGTTAAAACAATTATATCATAGTTATTACAACAAACATTTGTATAAAAGGAATGAGTTTTGGATCCAAGGCCACGACAATTCTGATAGTATATATTAATTTGTGGTAGTGCTGAGCTGGAATTCATTACAGAAAGTGAAACTAAAATAACAGAAAAAAATAATATAAATTGAGAGAAAAAGAAAAAATATAATAACAATAATAATAGAAAAAAAAGACTTATGTAAACACTTATATATATATATATATATATATATATATATATATATATATATATAAAACTTATGTAAACTTCTGTAAATACCTAAATTATTTTATCTAGAGAGTCTAAATCTTTAACTAGTCTATATTCTGAAGTATCAGTTTTACGCATGAAAATTCGTCCGTTTCTTACCCAGACGTGTTTATAATCTTTTGTTTTTGCTGCGGCCCTTGCTGCTGCATGTAATGCTTTATTACTACTTGACAAGTGTTCATTAACATAAATCGCTTTTTTTCACCAGGCAGACGTATGTGTGATGTATTCAATTTGTTATTGCGGTTGTTCTTATTAAATTTTATTACATCGGCCAGCAATTGATCGCGACTAGCAGGTGAATTTAGTTGTACCACTATGGACCTTGGCCTTTGATTTGCATTGTTAAGCTTCGGGATTCTAGAGCAATATATTATGTTGGAGTCAGTTTTGATGCTTCCAACCGCGCTGCAAATTTTCTTTACATTTGACAACATTGTTAGACCTTGCTTGTTGTTCGAGTTGGTTTATTTTAGAGTTAGAGGCGTTGAGGAACATATTTGCTTTCGAATTGGAGTTTCGTAGCTATTCTTTGTTTTTTGATTTATACATAACGGACACCTCCAATGCGACGAATTTTCCACATTTGGTGATTCACGCAAGCAGACAAGATGATATGCTTTCTTATATGATGCAGAAAAATAGGTTAACTTCGCGACAATGTACTAACAGGTTGATAAAGATTTAATTTTTATTGCCTTTTCTGATTAAATTTGTGTATCAAACAATCTAGATGGGATCTTTAATGTATATATATATTAATCTATGCTTGATTGTGTTGGATTAATAGTTTTGATAATTGGGTGATGTTCGCCTCCCCGCCGCCCATTAAACGCCTAGATTCAGTGACCTCAATAGGCTTGTTTTTTGTTTAATCTTTTAGTTACATTAATGTCACTCATAGGCGTCTACGCCTGTCGTAATTAATGAAAGCCCCCATCTCATCTTATATTCATCACTGCAATTAAGATTAAACATTAAAACTTGTAGAAAATGGACGAAGTTTGTGTTGTAAAGGGACAATAGATGCACGAAGCATTGGGTATCGTGCTTTGAAGCCGGGTTGTTCATAAACGCAAACTAACGCAAAGTCGTACAGTTACTTTCTGCTGTTGGAAAGTTGTTTAGTTCTCCGTACTATTTCCAGGTGACCGGCCGCTTACCACTGATATGTACCGCGGCAATAGTACAGGCGGGGTTGTTCGTGTCCATACTGACCTGGAGGCCGCACTCGGACGAGGCATATGTGATGTTTGTGATTGCCGTTCTCTGGGGTCTGTGCGACTCCGTCTGGATGGTACAGATGAATGGTACGTCATCACTGTCTTCCTAATGTGAGCAGATTTCAGTGGACTCGCAGACGTGTGCGAACTATCTTGAATTTACAGCAATTTTCATCTCGAGATCATTTATCGAGTCCTCAACGACAGGCGACTCAGAATCACAACAATTCTGATACAATAACTCATAGCTGGTATGAGAAAGGGGTGCGGGAGGTATATTTGAACATACGAGTAGTATGTCCAAATATACCTTAAGTCTTAAAAAAACAAGGACTGTAACCAAATGTCTAAGCTAAACATTACATACGAGTATTTATAATATAATATGTATTTTTTATAGTCTGTTTTTATAGTCTGCGTCATATTTATATTGTACAAAATAAGAAACTGTAAATGTAAATCTCTCGCTTAAAGTCAAATCAATGTTTAAACTAGATTTTCTATTGTATTTCAGCTTACTACGGAATTCTATTCCCCGGTAGAGAAGAAGCGGCGTTCTCAAACTTCAGACTATGGGAGTCTGTTGGTTATATCATTGCATATGTCATTTCACCGTACCTGAGGACCAGAGCGAAGACTTACCTGTTGATTGTTATGATGATCGCGGGCATAAGTCTCTACTTCGTGGTCGAGTACAGGGACAGAAGAGCGAAGAAGAAGATGGAAGAGAAGAAGAAAGACTTATACGCGATCGGTTGTGATAATATAGCTTTTCAAAACGTTGAATAACATATGATGAATTTAGTGATAAGTTTTATGTGATAAATATACTAATTTATATGCTTAAACGGATGTTTGAATTGTCATGTCATGTTATATAAATGGATAGTAATATATAGATAGTCTACTATAAGATTTAATTGCAATCAGATTGGTGTAAGCCGGACTAGACCCAATGGTGGCTAAACGCCGGTTACAATATTCAATCTGCAGATAGGTTTGGCAACGGGAGATTGAATTTTGACTTAATAAATATATAAGTATTATGGAGCTAATGTCAAATATCTATCTATAGTAACCAAATCTATCTTTTTTTAATTTTTTTTATGTGAAAGTTGCCAAAGGAGCAGACGGCCCATGGACATCCGCTACACCCTAGGGTTGCAGATGCGTTGACAACCTTTTGAAAATCGGACTCCGGCTACCTCACTCACCAGACGAAACGCGAAAGTATTATACTTCCACTTTACGCCGGTCTTCAGTGAGGTCGTTGTACTTACCCGGACGAACCTGCCCATTCGTGCAACAGCCGAGGCTGCTGCGTGGCCCTACCACGGTTTCTACCTATCTGTAGATAGAATATTGAAACCTGCCGTAAGGAGCGAGTCGCGATAGCAACCTTGCGCTCAAACAGTCAACTGGGCAATTGGAAAATGTATAACGTGCAAATAATATTAAAAGCCTAAAAAATCTATTAGTATTGACTTTTAAATTATAATTACGATAACTCGAGACTATACACGATTTAATGACTGTAAGGAAAAATATATTATTATAGAATAAATATTTGCATTTTACCAATTAATTGTGTATAACCTTATTTAAGTATTGGGTATTCGGTCATGTGATAAAAGTAACAGTAACAGCCTATAAATGTCCCACTGCTGGGTAAAGGCTCTCCTCTTTAAAGAGGGTATCAGAGCATAGCCCAACACGTGACCCCACTGCGGTTTGGCGGACTTCACAAAAAAGAAAAGAAGAAGAAGAAGAGGGAAGAAGTTATATTAAATAAAAAATTGGTTATTGAAATATTTCTTTTTAGGCATGCGTACCCCAAAAATAGGGTTCCCTTAAAACGGGACCCCATTACTAAGACTCCGCTGTCTGTCTATCTGTCTGTTTGTCTACTGTGATAGTTAGACAGTTTGAATTTTCACGGATGATGTATTTCTGATGCTGATATAACAACAAACACTAACAAACAGAATAAAAAAATATTTAAGTCTTCCATACAACAGACATGATTTCTTTGCAGTTTTATAGATAACGGTACGGAACCCTTCGTGCGCGAGTCCGACTCGCACTTGACCGGTTTATTTTACTTCATGTAAATACAGTGAAAGATAAACGTGCCCTAAATAATTTGAGCACTGACTAAAGTGTTTACAGACAAGTTGTGAAGTATTACGAGTTCAACGTCTAAAGAACGAAGGATAATGGGCGATTTTGAACCGATGGAGACATGGAGGATCTTGAAGAATATTGTCGTCATCAGTATAGCTTTTATGGTTCATTTTACAGCGTATAGTGTAAGTTGATTTACATTTATTACAGTGTATACATATTGAAATGCATTTTTTAATATTATTTATATGCATTCATTACTTTTCTTTTTAATTCATTACCATGGTGTTAAATAAAAGTCATAGTACCGGTTATGTATGGTGACATTTATTTACGCCATCATCATCATTTCAGTCTGTTTGAGTTCACTGCTGAACATAGGCCTTAGACTGCCACGAAGACCCATAGACTGCCACGAAGTTCGATCCTGAGCCGTCACTCCATCTAGTGGGGGGTCGCCCTACACTTATTACAGTGTATACATATTGAAATGCATATATTCTCTTATATATTTCTAATATAGGTACAAACAGAACATTCCACTACAACATCACCAGATAGAACAAAAATAGATGTCAAATTTGGTTTAAATTACTCTAAGAATTCTTTTGCTTCATCATTATCAAAATTTTTCACGGCCGACTTAAATGATGCGATAAACATATGTGATAAGTGGCAAAAATATTTGTTTTTCACATTACATTATTGAGTTAACCTCATATTATTTAATGAAGTACTTGTATATAACTATAAAACATGAAGAATTCAATAGGAATATGTCGTTAGAGACTAACCAATACCAGGGTGAATAATGATGAGTATTTATTATACGTTTAAAGTGCAAATTTGTTGGAATGAGGTAAGATTATGAGTTTGATAATATTGTTAGAAATATAAACGACGACTGTTTTTTTAAAAGAACTTATTGGGCAGTATAATTGTAAGTAACCGACAATCGTTATTGATTCGGGTAGAGCTTCAGCAAGCTACAACGACTGACGAAAAACGAACATGATGAGTGCTGCTCGTTTTATATCCCGTTGCAGTGTTGCTATTCGATATTTCGATTTATTCCTAATAATATGTTAATAAAGATATGGAATGATCAGTATGAAAGATCAGAACTGTTTACTGCGACTCTCGAAATGACGCTCGCTGGTCTTTAATCGCAAAAGTATCGGGCTTCGTAGTGTTTGATGGCGATTATTCTTGATTGGTTCAGTACAGCTTAATTCTTATTTTTATCCAAAAACGGGCTATTACTTGACTCATATCTCACCTGAATCTAAGTAAAGATGTAATCTTCGATAGTCTACGCACTAGCTCGGTAACAGGCAATTCAAGCCTCGTAGTAGCGTTAACATAATTAATAAGATGTTACCGTTTAAATTCACCCACTCTACGATAGATTATAATTAGACGGATTATAAAATTGGAGGTAAGGCTATATAAGGCTATATTTTAATTGAAATACTGAGATGTTTCCGTTTTGTGTAGGGGGCAGCTAATTTACAGAGTTCTATCAACGCAGAGGCTGGTTTGGGTACGGCATCGTTAGCTGCTGTTTATGTAGGACTGTGTTTCTCTAACATCTTCTTTGCTGTTATGGTTGTCAAGTAAGAATGATAAATATTAATGTATACTACATAAAAAGAAATGTTTTCTTTTATATGCTTTGCGCCATCAAATTATAATATAGTTTATCACTAAATATTATAATAGTCTTAAGAGGTGGCCTATCCACTGTTCACTACGCCAATAATTGGCCTAGTGGGTAGCGGCCTAGTGGATGTGATGAACGTAGTGTTTTTCTAGTGTCTATAAAAAAAACATTTATTTACAAAATAAAACATGTTTAAGTATGATTGTCAGTTACCAAGTACCCATTTAAGTACTCAAACAATGTTTGTTGCTTAGTTTGGAACTAAAACTGATAAGGTTGCGAAAAATACCCCAGAAATAATAAAATATTTATTCATTTTATTTATAATGAATTCGTTTTAGATGGATTAAGCGGTTGAATAAGCAAAAAAATTACATAAATTACAGATGGCTGGGCACTAAATGGGCGATGTCTCTGATGTTTCTGTCATACATGCCTTACATTGCCGTGCAACTCTTGCCTCGCTTCTGGACCATGGTTCCCGCGGGCCTTATTGTGGGCTTGGGCGGTGGTCCACTCTGGTGTTCCAAATGCACTTATTTGTCCGTGGTAAAGTTTTTAAATTGGTAAACTTTAAAATAGTAGTTATCTTTAAACGTTCATTAAATCGGGATTATATTACATTGTACCAGTGGAGCTGTGGAGTAGCAATTATCATGTTACTGCTCTTAATATTTCGGAACTGTTCGGGTTGTTAATATTTTTATAGTAGCCACGCAACAGCTTTTGCTGTTGCACAAATATGGGCAGGCGCATCCGGGAAAGCATTACGGCTTTATAGAAGACCGGCGTGAGAGGAAGTATTGAGTCCACTTTTTTATGCTTTTCAACGGATCTGCAAGCCTGTGTCCGAGTATTGTAGATACGTCCATGGGCAACGGTATACCCTTACCATCAGAGGGACCAACCGCCTGCTCGCTTCACAACTTTTTACATAAAAAAAAACTTCCCCAATGTTTTCGAATTGTGTTTAGGCTTGTTAAGAATAGTTTTATAGTAATTTTGCTCGATAGAGAAAAAATTATCAAAGATATTATGTGCACGGTTCGTGAAACATTATGTTGGATAACATTGTCTGCCAATTTAAGACAACGCTAAGATGTTAAGACTGCAAATTTTCTTTTCAATTGTTTAACGGAGATCATTTTCGTTTCAGGTATCAGAGACTTATAGCAAAATATCCAGAATCCCAGTAGAAACTTTGCTCACGCGATTCCTCGGGCTGTTCTTCATGATATTCCAACTGACTCAAGTCTGGGGAAATCTTATATCTTCTTTGGGTAAAGAGGAAGTATTTTATAATTCCAAAACAGTGACATTAGCAATATAGCTTGGATATAGCAATTGACATATTTATAACTGTATGTGTTTTGTGTTCCTATGTCTCGTTGTTGGGCCGTTAGTTGAAGTGGCTACACTTTTCATGACACTAGTCATGAGTTCAGAGGAAGTCATCGATATGGAGTAATAATTCCAAATATTTATTTCTCTATTGTAGTACTTTCGTACGGGGACAATGAAGCTTCGATGACTGCCTTAAACGAGACCCAGATCCTTGAAGTATGCGGTGCCAACTTCTTGCCAAGTACCCACGCGCGCAAAGCCTTACAACCACAGTCGCCCGAGAAGATACAAATGCTAGTTGGTAGGTTTTTGAAAGAAATTTGGAAATGGATCTGTATGCAACTCGAAATAATAATATAGTTTTAATTTTTCGCGGGACCTTATATATAATCTAATGTATCTTTTGTTTAAGAGTATAATAATTTAAGTTAGATCTTAGAATTAAAGAACTCTTCAGAAAAATATTAATGTAAAGGTATTCAGAGAACGATGTGAATATTGAGTTAATTTTTTCTATTCAATTTCAGGTATATTTTTGGCTTGCATGGCAGCGGCATCACTAATAGTTGCAATTGGTGTTGACTCCATGAAAAGGTGAGCGAGTAAACGATTTATAACAAAAAAATCTACTTAATTTCCGTATGCATAGCTTTCATAGTTTTATTTATATATTACTAGGGACCCGCCCCGGCTTTGCACGGGTGCAATATATTATACATATAAAACTTCCTCTTGAATCACTCTATCTATATATATATCAAGTTCCGTTGCGTAGTTTTAAAGATGTAAGCATACATAGGGACAGACATATAACTCTACCTATATATCTATAACTTTCTTTATGTAAAAATGTCGCAATGTGTAATCCAGCTGCTTCATATATACTGCGCGATGCATCAAAATTATAGAAGAACTTGAAATATAGATATCAAAACGATTCTCCAAAAGATTCGAAAGTCTCTTATCTCTCATATCTTTACGTTCGATTAGGGGCATGTTGAAACCAATATACCGCCTACACAAAATACATCAGGGTTCCATAGTAATTCTCACTGATCTTAGCCGATGATTAAAAAAGGAAAAGACGAGGTCATAGTCTACCTGCCAAATTTCGTTGCTACCAAATTTGGTTGGCGTCTAGAAAAAGAGGTAAACAGCCTAATCACCATCCACTTGTTCAAATTTACCATCTTGGGATCTATCATGGTCGCGGAATCCTCGACATGATAAAGCTTTACATAAATGCTACTATCAATCTACAGGTAACGTTAAAGTTGCGCAAGCTGATAGCATTATATCTCAACATGAAAAAATTAAGTCATCACCGACAATTTTTATTAAATAATTACCTTCTCTCTAAACCATCTTTAATTCTGTTCTTATCTCAACTTATTGGGATCAGGTGGGTTCGGCACAATATATGGATAGTTTTGTTAATTTTTAGTAGGTTTTTTCATTACCAGCTGTCTGTCGACCGGGGCTGCCCTTCAGGAATTATCTGTGTGTCACACAAACACCTTTGACGTGTGGGAATCGAAGCTATGACCACTGGTACTAAAGCGCCACTTTTTCTCTCTCTCTCTCTTCCAAGCTATATATCCTACATGGTGGTGGGGTCAGCTTTCCTTACTTTTTCTCTCTCCACTTCGCTCTATCGTCGACATGTTCCTCGGACACTTGACATTCCACCATGTCCCTTAGCACTACATCTTTCCATCTTTTTCGGGCCTACCTCTGGACCTTTTTTAAAGCGCCAGCACGTATGAATTATTTTTTATTTGGCTTTACATTGATTATCAGATATGACAACGAACACAACCGGTCAGGGCTGAGTCCTTCAGCCATGACGCTCCTTGCTGCCACTTTAAAGCTGCAAATGGATCCCAACCAGCTGATGCTTATCGTCATCAACGTCTTCATAGGCCTGCAGCAGGCGTTCTTCGGTGCCGATTTTACAGCTGTAAGTTTTTTTCAGGTTACCCCATGCTGTCTGATACCAAACTTAGAAAATTTAGTAGAGTATAAAACTCACCATAGGTTCAATTTTTAAGTTTTCGCCACGGTGTATAATGCTATTAAATTATTAGGCGTTGGATACAATATTTTGTATATTGTTGCAATATAGTAAAATAGGTATCAAAATTATAATTTAGATTACACTACAACCTAAACTTCGGCGAAAACTTATACACAAAATAATTAGCTTTCCAAATTAGGACGAAAGTTCATTCTCCGTTTCTACTTCTAACTTTTTATAGTTGTGCAATCAAATTCAAATTTTATCTATAAGTTTTCTTGGTATGTAAATGAAGCGATACGCTTCTACTTCAGTAGCGCTTGATTTTAAGTAGTAGAACAATTGTTCCTTAACACTCAGTTGATTACAATATGAATGTTGCCAATGCTTGAAATATTTTTTTATGTTTAAATTCATTTTACATGTCGTACTATATCACCTAAATGAATTTATTAAAAACAAAGATGGAACACGAAACCTTATGTATACCGAATAACGTTTCTTCATAAAAACAGGAATAAGCTGCAATTAAAGAGTATGCACTACTCTTTACCCATATCTTTTCATCAATTCTTTCATTTATGGGTTTCAGGCATTCGTTTCTTGTGTCATCGGTACTGGCAATATTGGATTCGTTATGATAACCTTCGGTATAGCGAACGCGGTCGGCTGCATCGTTACTGGGTACATATCAAAGGTGGGCAAATATACAGAACCGGGCAGGGTCCTTGCGGTACACTATACCAGCCAAGTTCAATGACCCGAAGATTGTTTAGATGTTCAATGTCCCTCGGGTTGATACTCATTTCGCATGTTTGTTCTTCCAGGTAACTGGTCGTTTTCCTCTGATATGCATGGCAGTCATATTACAGGCGGGTCTGCTTGTATCCATACTAACCTGGAAGCCACATCCAGGTGATGCCTACCTACTATACGTGATCGCCGTGCTCTGGGGGCTCTGTGATTCTGTCTGGATCATTCAGATCAATGGTATTTGACACAATACTATTTAGGTGTTTATTTGATGCAGTTTATTTAGAGATCGTTCTTCTTTTACAAAGACTAATAAGGAGGTTCTAATCAAAGTTATAAATAATCAGCAACAGAATATACGTTATGAAGATCGCGGTGCATTATAACCGTTAGTTCATGTTATACCATTGAATTGCGTAGTTAATAAGAGATGTAGTATTTATAGATGATATATAATTATATTAGTGACATATAATTTGTACAGTCAATTATAAATGTTATCTCATACTAAAATATAAAATGCTATTTTTGTAATGCGAACGTTATGTAACACAGTATACATAAAAACCCAGATATTTTTAAAGATATTTTATCGATAAGTTATCTAAAGAATAGTGACAGACATAAATTAAATACTAGAAATAAGGACAAATTAATTACACCATTTTTTCGTCTTAAAAAAGTAAATAGATCGTTCATGGGGCAAAGTGTGCGCATGTATAATAAAATCCCACAATCGGTATTAAGTCTGCCACTAGATGAATTTAAACGCAAAATTAAAAGCGAACTTATGGCTAAGGCATATTATACCATTGCAGAATATCTTGACGACGCCAATGTGTGGGGTTAATGCTGTTGATACTCACATAGGCTGAAATGGCATACTTGATTTAAACTAATCGTTTTAAAAAAGTGCAACTGTTGAGTTTCTTGCCGGTTTCTTCTCAACAGAAACTGCCTTCCGAACCGGTAGTAACTTACGAACGTATTAATTTTTATGTAAAATTTTTGACATTTCATAAGAACGCGCAAGCGTCTTTGTGAATAAATATATTTTTGATTTTGATTTTGGTGCGGCACAAATAGTCTATTATTCCTATACCTCCGCTTCTTCAATGGCTAGAGAAGACATCAGAAAAGTTTCAGTAAGCAATGTCTATTCGGAATTAACGAAGGCACGCACACACTATGCTCGAAAATGAAGCTTATACTCGTATAGTAACAGACTGATATGTACTATAATTTCAAAACAAAAAATATTTTTACCTTGTATTTACGCGATTACACATTACTACAGAGCAGTGATAGCTCAGTGTCGCTCACCTTTAATTCAATATACTCGAGCAACCTGAGTTCGATCCCCGGTGCCGGCACCAATGAAGTTTTTAACTTTAAGTGCTGACTTATCACGTGCTCCGCGGTGAAGGAAAACATCGTGAGGAGACCTGCATATTTTCGAAATAATGACAAAAAAAAAATGTTGTTTTATGTGAAGTCCGCCAAACCGCAGTGGGGCCGCGTGGTTGACTATGCCCTGATACCCTGAGGCCTTTTCCCAGCAGTGGGACATGTATAGCTGTTACTTTACTTTTTTTACACATTACTAAATGAAACTACTGAATTTTACAGATTTATCGCGTTTCGAACCCTTTTCAGCGTCCATGGTGACAGGACGTGACAGACTGAGGCGTTGGATGTATGAATGTCATTGTTAGCCCGAGCTAAAGCCAATTTTTAAGTTATTTATTATGTGTCAAGAAGTTCTTTTGGGCTTAGATTTAATTTCATTAATGACTAGCTGTGCCCGCGGCTTCGTCCGCGTTGAATTTAAAATAAAAAAAAATCTAAAATAAAAGTAGCCTTAGTTACTCCTTATTACATCAGCTATCTGTCAGTGAAAGTCCCGTCCAAATCGGTTCAGCTGTTTCAGAAATTAGCCGGAACAAACAGACAGACAGACAAAATTGTAAAAAATGTTATTTTGGTATATGTACCGTGTATACATCTATATGCATTTACTAAAAAGTTATTTTAATATTACAAATAGACACTCCAATTTTATTTATCTGTATAGATAGGATGCTATAAGGCTGAGGTCATCATCCAGCCCTCTTTCTTATCTATTGAAATAAGGGTGTTTTTTTTTTATTTTAGTAGCCTAACAAGTTATCATTAGGAGTCGATGTTCTTTTGCAAGGATCTGTAGTCTATTAAATCTAACATAGAGGTTTGGTCGATTTAAGGTGTGCTCACAGACTGCAGAGTGCAGACTTGTTTCGTCTATTGTGTTTTAAGTCACCTATATGTTCTTTCACGTGGGTTTTTATTGCTCTTTTAGCAATTTATAGATGGTTAAAGCTGACTGATATTCTTCTTCTTCCGATCGGCTTGTAGATGGTATTGATCAGAGCTTGTTTTAAGATGTAACTGCTGGTTTCACTAAAGACATAAGAAATAAAAATAAAATTCATTACTATGGAATGGTTTCCTCTCTGTTGTAGCGTACTACGGCGTTTTATTCCCTGGCAGAGAAGAAGCGGCATTCTCCAGCTACAGACTCTGGGAGTCTTTTGGCTACATCATTGCATACGTCATGTCTCCATACCTGAGGGCTGAGGCGAAGATTTACCTGCTAATTGCGATGATGACTGTTGGCACAACCTGCTATTTCGTGGTAGAATATATGGACAGAAGAAAGAAAAAGTTGCAAGAAAAAAATTATGCCGAACTTACAAAGGTCCAATGATATAGTTAAAGTTATTTGTTTAGAAAACACTATAAGTATTTGTTACATATGAATAAAATACCTTCTAAGTAGGGATTGAGTAAGGCTTTAACCCTTACTCAACCCTTGTTGTAATATTAATGGGTTATAATGGGTTGTAATATTTATGCGTTGAGGTATCAATTAATTAATATGCACGAATTTTAATTGTGGGGGTGGCCGATGTTCAGCAGTGTACTCAAATAGGCGGATGAATTATAATTTATCCTAACACAAAAGACTTTTTTTATATTATTTCTTTTTTATCACATAAAAAAAATTGTTTGAACGCAATAATCTATGGTTATAAGTAATCTAATATAATTTTTGTTAAACATTTCATAGCAATAAAATTTGAACTTGAGAGTGTGCAATACCTGTATCACACGAGGTCAGGTTACTAGCTGGATTAAACAATTATCAGCGGACCGATCTAGCTGGCTGCGGAGATGGAGAATGAAGTCATTGGGGTTTTCGTTCCTTGAAAGCATACTAGATTTTCTTTTAAAAATGTAGTAATTTTCCAATTTAGATTTGCTGCTGGATTAGAATGAGGGCCAATCGGAAAGTTGTATTTCACCACGAGATTTGCGCATAAATTTTTTTTTTTATTATTTTATAGTTGACACTGTATTAAGCCTGTGTTAGTAAACCTAAGTCTGAGAAGCTTATCATAGAACTCCGTGTAAATGTTGCAATTATATTTAGTTGCATTACCATGCAGAAGTACCCTTCAGTGGACTGTATAAAATATTAATAGCTTTCGCCGTTGCTTCTTAGAAATTTAGTTTTTTTTATAGTGCTCATCCTTGCACTTAAGATTGAAAATTAAAATTTGTAGAAAAAGTACAAAAAGATTGACGCCGCTGTGGGAATCGAACCCACGTCTTTGGCATTTGCGTCCTGACGCTATAGCTACTAAGTTAACGGCTGATTGCCACACCGAAGAAAATCTTAAGGTGTAAATTGGATTGCACTGGCATCCGTTTAGCCGAGAATAGTGAAAGGACCTAAGAGTTTGCTTATACCATATCGACGAAAATGCACAGTGCAAATCCCACTCAGTGTTTGTGGGTATCGATAAACAAGGTAATTCCATTACAATTTGTATTGAGGTGAATTATTATTTGTTAGAGGCAAGGAAACGTCACAAGACAAATGGCCTGCCGTTCCATGTATAGGTGGATACCATTTAAACAGTGTGTTTTATTTATTGTCATTGATAACTAGCAGTTAGATTGATATCGGTTTGACCTCCATGCGAGCTTACAATGAATAAAACTTCATAAATTGCGCTAATGCGTTTAGTTCTCGTATATAAAGTTGACTGAGCAAACATTTTAAAGGAGGAACCAGGCATGAATACAAACAATTTGACGTGCCTACGTTAAATAAAGAAATTAAAATTTTGACTATTTTTTAAGAGTAAACTAGTCCATTGTAGCTTTCAGTTATAAGTTTAAAAGTAAGAAGAGGTACTGATTGGCTCAGGATCGTACTTCATGGCACATCTTCATGCCATTTTTCTTTGTGTTAAATCTTCATGCCATTTTTTTTTGTGTTAAAGTAAATATTGTGTTTGTGTCGCACGGTTATCTGTCCTACCCTGAACTTGCTTTTGCAAAGCTTTCACTATACTAGATCAACTGATAAACATACTTAAACATTTTTTTCTTTTGTAAACAAAAACATCCAGACACTAGAAAAAAACTATGAAAAAACTATTTTCATAACACAATATTTCCAGTAGTGGGGATCGAACCCACACCTTTTGGCACAAGAGACAAGGTCACTATACACTACGCCAATTGAGTTGTCAAATCGGGTTCACAATTAAAGGATGGAAGAGCCACGAAGCGTGAAAGGAATTGAGAAGCCCTGAAGGGAGTATGCGAGGGTGGTTCCCCGGTAGTGACCGTCCAGTGCGATGGTGATAAACAATACCATCCAGCGGAATCAGTATTAAGATAAACGGGAGGACAGTCTGAAGATCTGAGGAGTTATCATGGGTATTAGACTGATGATGACGTGCGTCAAACTTTAACTGCATTCAAATATTTATCCTTCTTAAAACATGATGAAATAAGGCAATATCAAACGTTCGACTGTCGTAGGTCGTACTCAGCAGCAATTCTCACATAATAAAACACTCAGACTGGAAAGTATAAACAGAATGGAACAACCTGACGTAATACGTTCATTACACATATTAGTAATGTGTTATTTACGTACATACATAATATTTTACGACCCCAAACCGTGATAGCTCAATGTCACTCGCTTTTAATTCAATATACTCGAACTCAAGTTGAGTTCGTTCCCTGGTGCCGACACCAATGAAATTGTTAATTTTAAGTGCTCATTTATCACGTGCTCAACGGCGAAGGAAAACATCGTGGAGAAACCTTCATATTCTCGGAATAATTACAAAAAATATTTTCGTAGATGATGTAATATGAAAACTCCGCCGTTGTACAATGCGGCTGTGTGGTAGAACTATGACCTAATGACCTCTGTACAGAGGAGGCTTTTGCTCAGCAGTGGGACATATATACGCTGTTACTATACTTTAATATATTACTTATTTGATTGTGTATGCCAAAAATAAAAATGTTTAAAATTATTATAATATCAAATAAGACAATTCCTTTTAGTGAACGGTCACAGTTCGCTTACACCGTGGAATTTCAGGGCTAAGGCATGAATCACTTATTCATTTTTTGAACTGAAAGTGTTACATAATGAAGTTATTTAGTTTTAGATAATTAATTTATAATTGAATTGGTGTGGGGTCGCGTTGCAGTAAGAAGCGAAAGTTTTTAACGGTGGCAGGGCCACGCAACAGTGTCCGCTGTTGCACGAATGGGCAGGTCCGTCCGGGTTAGTACCATGACCTCACAGAAGACCGGCGTAAAGTGGAAGTGTTATACTTCTGCGTTTCGTTTGGTGAGTGAGGTAGCCGGGGCCCACTTCAGGTTGTTACAAATGTCCATGGGTAGGCGGTTATCACTTAAAATCAGGTGAACCGCCAGCTCGTTTGCCACTTTCTCACATAAAAAAAGTGCTGTTGGAAATATCTGCACAGGCTCATCGACATTGAACTTCTTCATAAACCTAGATGGATTTATTACACCGAGCACTCATATCCTGAAAATGGAAGTATTGCGTAAATCGTTTAGCATCTACGCATCTCTCTATGTAGATAAGACTTGTTTATATAAATTATTTTATTAATGTTGTGTAATATTCAATAGAATATAATATTCACAAATTGCAAAATATATGAAAATATGTTTTTATGTGAATAATCGTCAAGCTAACAAGCTTGATGTTGAATGAATACCACCGCCCATGGACATCCACAACACCTAATGGCTTGCCGATGAGGGACAACCTTTAAAAAAGTGGGCCCCAGTAACCTCACTTAACAGACAAAAAACGAAAGTTTTATACTTCAACTTCACGCCGGTCTTCTGTTAGTCCGTCGTACTCCCCCGGATGGGACTACCCTTTCGTGCAACGGCAATAGCTGTTGCGTGGCCGTGCCACAGATAATATATACTTATACTTTTGGCATTCCTTGTCTGTCATGTTATAATTTCACCTTCGAAACAAACAAAGTTAAGATATTTCATAAAATAGTGTGATTTAATTTTATCTGAATTTTCTCGTAAACCACGTCTAACAATATCTATTATAAAACTTGTTTTAATATGCACCACGTCAAAGTATCCATCATGACGTTGGCGATCAGTCTCCATTATAACACGATACTGCTTAAAGTGGGTGCTACATTTGTACATTAAAATAATGTTTACTTATTTGTAGCAAAAACGTTTACATTATGAAGTAATATAATTATGTAATATAAAGAAGTAATATGATATAAAATATATCCTTCTACAAGGTCTACTGTACAACGTACGCTATGCGACGTTACACTTATTTTTCTTATAATTTCCAACATAAAAATTCATGAAGACACATAAATGTAGTAATACAAACTAAAACTAGTATGTTATTTTTGATTTAGAAAAGATATTTGTATTAAATAAATGAAATTGACATGTTTTGCTTACTAAGAAAAAAGAGTATTATTTTGTATTGTGTAACGGGTTTCTCCGTCTGCTGAATTAAGGAAGCTTGTACTTTAATACACATCCTGAAATTCTTATGAAATATTGGTTCATGACGGCTACAGTGCATACGGTCATTGACGTATGTCGAATAATAAATATATAACTAATAAATATAAAAATAATTCAACGGTGGTAGGGCCACGCAGCAGCCTTGGCTGTGGCACGAATGGGCAGGTCGTCCAGGTAAGTGCCACGACCTCACAGAAGACCGGCGTAAAGTGGAAGTGTTATACTTCTGCGTTTCGTCTGGTGAGTGAGGTAGCCGGGGCCGACTTTACTAAGAAGTGGCAACGCATCTGTAACCCTAGGGAGTTACAAATACCCATGGGTTGGCGGTTATCACTTAACATGAGGTGAACCGCCAGCTCGTTTGCCACTTTCTCACATAAAAAAAGTGCTGTTGGAAATATCTGCAGAGGCTCATCGACATTGTTTGAACTTCTTCATAAACCTAGATGGATTTATTACATCGAGCACTCATATCCTGAAAATAGAAGTATTGCGTAAATCGTTTAGCATCTACGCATCTCTCTATGTAGATAAGACTTGTTTACATAAATTATTTTATCAATGTAGTGTAATATTCATTAAAATATAATATTCACAAATTGCAAAATATATGAAAATTTGTTTTTTATGTGAATAATCGTCATGCGAGCAGGCCTGATGTTGAATGAATACCACCGCCCATGGACATCCACAACACCTAATGGCTTGCCGATGATGGAGAACCTTTAAAAAAGTGGGTCCCAGTAACCTCACTCACCAGACGAAAAACGAAAGTTTTATACTTCCACTTCACGCCAGTCTTCTGTTAGTCCGTGGTACTCCGCCGGATGG